GATTCTCAATATGGCATTCTAAATACTGTAATTTGAAACTGGGATTGTCATTTCGAAAAATGTACTACTAGGAAAGTGACAAATTTTCAAATGACCAATAATTATGATATTTTTTTATTCAAAAAGTGACAATTTCTAATTACTTGTAGAAACAGAGTGCGGGGGGTGGGGGAGGTGCAAGCGGGGGATGGGGGGAGGCATTGATGCGTTCGCGGCTATGGTGGATTGTCTAGTTGCGGTCCAAGTTAGTTGGAGCAATCAAGGGGGGATGATTGGCAATGGAGGAACTCGATCCGGTAGGATGAAATCGCATGTTGTGATTGATTTAAGAAGCGGATGGAGAATAAAGTTGACTTCCATCAAGGGTTTAATTAGGTAAAGGGTAAAAAAGTAATTTGCAGTCCTATTTAGGGAACAAAAACCTTAAAATCCTATTTATGAATTTAGTCCATGTTTTAGAGTTATCTTTATAACTAAATTGACTGAAGTTATTATAAAAGATTATTTAAGTATTTTTCTTTACATTTTAAATAAAATATATTAAATATGGTTTTCCATAATTAAGAAGAGTTAGCTAGTTAAACTATTAAATTTCACTACATTCAATCAATTTAATCAAGTTTAATGTAATTAAATGGATTCTAAAACTCGAGAAAATTAACGAGAGAAAGGATTGAAATGAATAGAATAATGGATCGTATCAAATGCGGGGTGATAGGTTTATCGTGGCGCATCACGCATTCACGCGAGCCACCAACAACTAGCTATCATCTTTGATTTTTCTTTAATATCCATGAGACCATGATAATTGATAACCATATAATGATATAACCTAGTAAAGTTGTGCATTTTCTTTTAATTAAGGGAGAAAGACCACCTTGGTTTTAGTCAAAATTCCAATATGCCACTGTCTGGCGGCGATATTGCCAACCCAATAATGCATTGGTAACGTATTGCTCATGTGATAAATCTCCTTTTTTTTTAATCATACAAGAGCGGTCTATATATTACATCGAGAACACATGTAAGACATTTTTCAGACAGAATTTACATATTCAATCATGAATCTTAGAAGCAAACTTAGAGTCAGTCAGCTCATTCAAAACAACATGACTCGCTAAATCTGAAACGAGCAAATTTAGACTTGAAATGACCAGAATCGAAACTCTATCTATCAAAAGAACTCCGTAAATCCAAGCATTCAAACCAAATCTACTCAGGTATGGAGGTGGTTCCACAATTGCTACTAAAGTGAAAATAATAATGAAGTAAATTCTTTCCACAAAGCTCTTCCTGATATGGAAGTGGTTTCGAAGGAGGACGAGCTCTTGCAATATGGGTTAATAGAGTATATGAGCCTGGACTCCATGGCCCACACACTCAGAAGGTCAAAGACATCCGTTAGGCCCCACGGGGACACTACGTCCTAATGGGGCCCGCGACGGCCAGAACCGGATCAGCCCAGAGCGCCGCCAGGAGCGTAAGTGGGCCGCGTCGGCCTATGGGCCGCATCGGCCAGAAAGTACCACATCGGCCTGGCTTCGTCCTGGCAGAATGCATCTCTCTACTTTATTTACTAAGTGTTGTACTCAGCCCATTAGTGGTCCTATTCTGCCTAAAGAAGGCATGATTATTGTAATGGATCTCCTAAGCCCAAGACCAGGAGCCCAAATCCACATTTTTTTCCTATAAATAAACCCCAAGGGGCTAGTTATAGGGGATTGAGAAATATTAATTGCTCACTTTCTCTCTCTAGCACTCACTTCTATCTAGAATTAAATACTCTATCATGGGTAAATACCAACTCCACCACTGTCGGAATGCTCGACCAAGACTTCACGATCCAGCCTCGATACAACCTCCCAGCCGCACCTCATTCATCCGCCTAAGTTATCTCCTCCGGCGTAGTTGCAATCCCAAACGTTAGAACATTTAAAATCAGTATAATATGTCGCTCCAACCCCATATTGATAGGGACGGCGGAAAATTTCATTCCTACAAAGAGAGGAGACAACCACTAGGGTTCCTCTATCTCTAGATTGAAGAGAGAGTCGTATTCTGTTTGATAAATCTCCTTAACAGCACCTATATGGCTACATATAGTTGGAAACAAAATTATCCACTTTTTGTACGCAAATCATACACACGTATGCAAGCAAACTATTTTTGTATGCGCTATTCACAAAAAAAACATGATAAAGTGTGTACAAAAAGAATTATGTTATACAGTACTCCGTATATACTTCACTGTCGCAGAAAAAAAAAACGAATGTGCTTGCAAATATCCAGCTTGAGAACACAAGGGTCGAGTCCACAAATGCATAGTACTTTCTATCTCTAAGTACCAAGCAAGAAAATCAAATTTCTTACTAATTTATACTCCATATCATGCAAGGGTGAATCCAGAAATGAAAGATTTGGTGGGCTAAGCATTAAAAGCATTGTTACAACAAGGCTTAGCTTATACTCCGTAGTTGTTATCGATAACAAGAGTTAAACTTTAACTTTGAGGGCCTAGAGCAGGTTGTACATTTTGTTGGCAGCTTAACTAAACTTGTGAATATGTTTTAAGTACTGGTGTGCGTAGCTCAACTGGTAGCGAAGGAGTGCCACAAGGGTTAGGTCCCGGATTCGAATCCCGGCAACTGCGATGAGAGATTACTATGCAAAAAATGCATAGGGCCTCTGCAAGTACGGGGACAGAGCCCCACTCTCTATCTGTCAGATTGTGATTATGTTCCAATTTACATCCTCCCATCGTGCCGTCCAGTCGGTGTTGGGGGGCCCTCAGGGATGATACTTAGAGGACGTTTGGAACCACTGTTTTTTGGCTTATCAGCCAACTTTTTCACCAAACATGTAATTTTTGCTTTTGCGCGCTGAATTGTGTAATAAGCAGAAAAAGTAAGGTTGAAGTTACTTTTGTGGCTGTATTGGCTGAAGTATAATTTTTACGTATATTTTTTTCTATATTTTATTAATAAAATCTATTTTAAAAATAATTTTTTCTTAAATCAGCAGAGTCAGCCAATGCAGCTACTTTAGCCAGAACTTCATAAATTTCAGCAGAATCAACCGAATCAGCCGATTTTCGTGCTACCAAACGGGCTCTTAATTGAAAACATGGCTTAATCTTCCAATAAAAAAATTAACTTAATTATTAAGTTGTAAAACAATAGTCTTTCCAATTAAGACGTCTATTAAGACGTTTTTTATGATTTCTTTTTAAAATCGACTATAAAATAGATTTATGTTTTCTGTTTGAAAGAATTGATTTATGTTAACGAATGATTATTCCACTAAACTAATTATTTTACTAAATAATACCCATACTAAATTGATTACTTTAATCAATTCAAACAGTTTATTCAACATACTAGATAAATAACATTGTATATAAATAGCACTTATACCAAAAAGATCTCTTAATCCATACAAACATCTTAATTCAGACAAAAAATAATAGAAAAAAAGTAAACAACCCCTTAAATACACTAAATTTGACCATACATGATTAGTGAAATAATATAAACCAAATCCAAACTATACTTCAACATCACATATTGGTAGCCTGTTTGATAACATTGAATCGATTGAATCTGTTGAAAATGCTGAAGTTATGACTGAAGCGTGTGAATGGCCTGAATCTGCTAAGTTATGAAAATATTTATATTTATATTTATAAAAATATTCAAAATATTTTTATTCAAGAAAAAATTATATGAAAACAACAAAAATATTTCTTTGCAGTAACTTCAGTCTATTCAATTAGAAAAATAATTATAATATTACTTCATACATATTTTGAATATCATATAAATCAGTGCGTAAAATAAAAAATTATATGTTTTGTGAAAAAAATGATCGATAAGTTGAAAAAGAAGTTATGAGCTCTAGATCAAATTGAGACTCATCAAATAGGATTTAAACAAAAATGTGTAATCTTAATGAAAACATCCTCCTAATCCGATTGATAAAGTTATGAAATTCAGAAATTATACATGTTAATTGGCATTTAATTTCATACTCCGTATAAAAAATGTTGGGATGTCCCCGAATGATTTAAGGTAGATTCTATGGTACCTTACTATACCTTTGTCCACATGGATCAATAAGAATGATGCAATTGAATTATTTAAATCTAAATTAAAAAGGATATATTAATTTGGACCAATCAAATACTGGTACATGATAGTTACGATACACCATTAAAGTTGTCACCATTGTTTTATGGGATAACAGTCAAATAGGTTCTCGAACTTTCATAAAAAAGTCAATTAAGTCCTTCTATAGGAGGTTCTGTCCAGCTCTCGTGATTTGGGGCAGTTTCCGGTGGAATTTTTTGATGAAAATTTTTGAACATCTTATTCACCAAGTCTAGTTTACTCATACCAAATTTCAGCTAAAAATTCAATCGGGAACACATTCAAATTAATTCTTGAAGATAACTGCGCATTTTTGCGTTCTCGAATTAATTTGAATGCGCTCCCGATTGAATTTTTAGCTGAAATTTGGTATGAGTAAACAAGACTTGATGAATAAGATGATAAAAAAATTTCATCAAAAAATTCCACCGGGAACCGCCCAAATCGCGACGATTGGACAGAGTCTCCTATAGAAGGACTTAATTGTCTTTTTTATGAAAGTTCGAGGACCTATTTGACAGTTTTCCCTTGTTTTATTGCTCCTTTGGAGTAGATGTAAAAAATTGGGGAGTTAGAATGTTTTCTTTTGGACTGTTTTCAGTCCCGGACCAGACCAGACCAGATCAAACTTAAACAGACTAGACCAGACCAGACCAGACTTAAACAGACCAAACCAGACCAGACTTCGATAGTTATAAAATACACCGAGACCAGACGTTTACCAGACCAGATCAAACTTAAACAGACCAAACCAGACCAGATCAGCAAATTTTAGTCCAAAAGAAAACATCCTTATTTGGAATATTCCAATATAGGAAAATGCTGTGTTCTTTCTCTCTGGACAGCACACTAGTAGTATGATCTTGACCACTGCTCCTCCATAATTACTCCCCATTTTATATTCTTTGTCGTCATCCTCTTCCCCTTCACCACATTTTCTCTCCTCCTAACAGATAGTCTCTGATCTTTTGGACTCCAAATTCCGATTTCAGGTCCGATGGAGCCACCCGAGCACGACGCCGTAGCTCACGGTTCCGCCGAGGAGATCATCCTCCGGTGGGACTCCACTGCGTCGGAAGCAGGTGCCAGAGAGAGGATGATCTTCAGCGGAGACCGCGATGAGGTCGCCCAATACTTGCGCGCCGTCGATGAACTCCAAAGCTCCATGGAATCGGCCTGCTCGCTCTCCGATGGCCAGAGCAAAGGCGACGGAGCGATCCAGATCGCCATGGCTCGGCTCGAGGACGAGTTCCGAAGCATCCTCATCGCTCACACCAGCCCTGTTGAATCTGAGTTGCTGCTCGAGTCTAGGAGCTCTACCTCTTCCAGAATCAGCTGTAGCTCCAGGAGCAGCTGCAACGGGATGAGCTCGGGAGAGCAAGAGCTCAGGAGCTTCGATTTTGGAGATGAGAGCTCGATGTGCGATGAGCTAGAGCCTCTGGAGAGCAGGATGAGCAGCAACAGTTACCGATCGTCGAGTAGCATCAGAGAAATCGACCTCTTGCCGCCAGATGCAGTCCAGGACCTCAGAAGCATCGCCGAGAGGATGATTTCCGCAGGATATCTGCGTGAGTGCATCCAGGTGTACGGCAGTGTCCGGAAGTCGGCGATAGACGCTAGCTTCAGGAAGCTTGGTATAGAGAAGCTGAGCATTGGCGATGTCCAGAGGATGCAATGGGACGCTCTTGAAGTGAAGATCCGTAACTGGATACGTTCCGCCAAATTGTGCGTCTGTATACTCTTCGCCAGTGAGAAGAAGCTCTGCGAGCAAATATTCTCTGGATTAGATACATCAGCGGAAGACGCTTGCTTCTCGGAGACTATCAAAGGTCCGGCTATTCAGCTTTTCAATTTCGCAGAAGCTATTAGTATTAGCAAGCGATCTCCAGAGAAACTGTTTAAGATTTTGGATCTACACGATGCTTTATCGGAGTTAATGTTTGATATAGAATTCGTTTTTGAATCAAAGAACACGCAGTCAATTAGGGTTCAGGCAAGTGAAATGTTGTCCAGGTTAGGAGAGGCAATAAGAGGGATACTTTCTGAATTTGAAAACGCAGTTCTTCGGGAGCCTTCAAGAGTTCCAGTCCCAGGAGGGACCATTCATCCATTGACAAGGTATGTGATGAATTACATCAGTTTGATCGCTGATTACAAACGCACTTTGGATGAACTGATCATCTCGAATCCTGCAACTGGTTCAAGAGATACAAATGACCCAAACACACCTGATATGGATTTCACCGAAGTAGATGGAAATGGAAAACCCCCTCTGTCCCTTCACTTAATTTGGATAATCGTTGTCTTACAATTCAACTTAGAAGAGAAATCTAAGCACTACAAAGAAACTTCATTGGCACATCTCTTCATGATGAACAATTTGCATTACATTGTCAAGAAGATCAAAGGGTCACCTGAGCTAAGAGAGATGACTGGGGATCATTACTTGAAGAAGTTAACTGGGGGGTACTTGCAAGCGGCTATGAATTACCAGAGGTCGACATGGGTGAAGGTTTTGTATTGTTTAAGAGATGAAGGATTGCACACTGGTAGCTTTTCATCAGGGGTATCAAAGACTGCATTGAGAGAGAGGTTTAAGAGCTTCAATGGTATGTTCGAAGAGGTTCATCGGACACAGGCAAGTTGGTTGATACCAGACGCTCAGCTTCGCGAAGAGCTAAGGATATCCATGTCGGAAAGGTTGATACCTGCTTATAGATCATTTCTTGGACGGTATAGGAGTCACATTGAGAGCGGGAGGCACCCGGAGAATTACATCAAGTACTCAGTTGAGGATCTTGAGAATGCTATTCTCGATTTCTTTGAGGGAATCCATGTCTCACAGTTCTTGAAGAGGGCATCTCACTAGCTAGGGGAGGGGGAGGGGGGATTTGGTATGTGAGTTTTATTCTATTTATTTCTATTGTTCTCTTTATTATCAATTAAGGAGTAGAATCTAGGGAAAAATTCTTTGATTCTTTGTGGAGTGTGCAGGAGAATAAGGCATTTCAGCGAGTTTCAAAAGATGTTTGAAGGGATTGTTTATTGTATTTGTATGAATGAATGAACTTTGAACTGAAGAATGATGACGTGTGAAGGCATAGCTTCTGTTCTCCCGTCTGAGTTCGTGAAAAAGGTGCTCCAGTTTTTTCAATGTTATACTTTTAGTTGTCATTTCACCTTTATTTGTTCTTTTTGGGCATGTGAAGATGTTGTACAGTTGTATCCAGTATTAGTCAACTGAATGGAAGTCATAAATAATATTGGAGCAATGTATTCCATCCGTGGAAATATCTGGTTATGTTTTTCAGTCTGTTTTGTAAGACTTAAATCAGATGGGAGGGACAAAGTTTGCTAAAGTTTTGACTCAAACACTTGAATTATCATCAAACTAGTTTAAAAACTGTATCTTTAATTAGAGAATTGATAATATCTAGAAATATGAAGATAGATATGGAAAACATGCATTACTTTTGTCGTTTTTAGTTTTTTCAGCCATCCCATTGAAATTAATTGCTTATCGGTGGGAAAAGGAGTTGGTCTTTTGTGATAGATCCGACTCAGGAAAGAAAAAAGAGGGTTCACCTAACTAGCTACTCCGCATTAATTTGTGAAGGTGGCGATTTTGACTTTCGAATAGTTTGCGTTTCAATCCATCAAACTGTCGTTGTAATTCACTTTTACAGGTCAATATGAGCAGGCTGCGTTTAACGTGGAACTACGGCAAGTAGAAATGGTTACAGGGTTGGGCAGTCATTTTTGGCTTATCACTTATGAATGAGCATTTTTATCGACACCTATTTCTTTTTTTTTTTCTTCGCACAATTAGGAGGTCGTTTGACAACACTGTTTTTCGTCTTATCAACCATCTTTTTCACCAAACATGTAACTTTTGCTTTCGCGTGCTGAATTGTGTAATAAGCAGAAAAAGTAAGGTTGTAATTACTTTTCTGGCTGTATTGGCTGAGGTTACTGTAGATGATCATTTTAGTTATCTGTACATATAATTTTTTCTTTATTTTATTAATAAAATATATTTTAATTTTTTTTTTAAATCAGCAGAATCAGCCAATGCAGCCACTTCAGCCAGAACTTCATAAGTTTCAGCAGAATCAACCAAAACAGCTGATTTTCGTGCTACCAAACGGGCTCTAGGTCACTATACTTCAAAATTTGGTCATCATACTTCAAATCGACCAATTACACCCTCAAACTGTTTAAAAAAAGTCAATTGACCTTTTTAGTAGGTAACTAACAAGTTACCGGTTAACTTCATAACGTGATCGTCTACATGGCTTTCTGTTTTGATTTTTCTATTTTTATATCATCTAAATTCATAATCTCTTTCCGTTTGACTTCTTCCCTCAGAGTCTTCTTCTTCTTTTGAGAAGTGCTCACATGCGATCGCACCCCCTTGTCGAGCATGGAATCTCGTGGCACCGTACTCACAGCCTTCTGCGAGAAACTGGCGCCTTCACCTGTCGGATTTTACCACCAGTTGCAGCTTCGACTCGGCGCTCACAATCATCTTCTTCTATTGCACGCCGATGATTTACCAAAGCCTCTCCAAATCTGCTCCAATTCTTCACTTGATTTTCGCCAGCCAAAGCATTTAGTTCTGAACGAATTTGCTCTGTGTCCAGGTGAAACCTTTGACGGAGCTCCTGTCATTCCGGCGACTAGAACCCTAGTTGGTTGTCTGGGCAGCCTCTCCAAGCAGAAACTCCACACACAATTCACAACAAGGTATAAGTCTGGAAAGATTTAGAGTTACGAGCAGACCAAACTATGTATATATCCACGCTGATTTCTCTTGGTTAATTCTCCACCGCCGTCGAGACATCCTGATTCAACCTTCGCCTCAATTATCGTCCTTCTGCTTCAGTTTCCGTCCTCATATCTTGAATTTGATACAAAGCAGAAGAGAGGGCACTATACGAAGATGGAAGCTTAATAGAAAGTGTTTTTGGCTTGTTACAAAGTAAACGATGACAACAAATAAGTATTTTGGTGATACGAAGACTGAAATATCTTTTCTCTTCAAATTAATTTCATTTATCTGAGAATATGAGATGTATATATATGTGGGTCACCAGACTGGCAGTCCACGTATGAACTTAGCCGGCAAACTTGGTGTTTACGTACTGAACTGTGCAATTGACTTTTTTTAATAGTTTGAGGGTTTTATTGGTTGATTATGAAGTACGAGGACTTGATTGACTTTTCTAAGATAGTATGAGGGCTTATTTGGCAATTTCCCCTTTAATAATCAATATAATAGGAAAATATTTTTCGGAAATATTATTGAAATAAAACACATTTACAAAAAAAAGTGACTTGTGTTATCATGAGTATATAAGTCAGTATAACTAAAGTTCTTATTTTAATCACTATACATAAGAGATCACATTTTTTACAAACAACATTTATTTTAATCATAAATATGTAAATTGTCAATAATAAATAAGGCTGACATTATTTTTCAATAATAAATAAGGTTAACTTTTTTCATAATTCTGAAACTTTTAAAATGTTTTCACTTGAACTTTTTAATTCAGAACAAACCAAACTCAACTTAAAATACATGTTCATACTTACACAATGACCTTATTAGACCATTCCAGATATGAGATATTGATAATAGTAAAATACACACTTCATATATACCAGGCATTCAGCAAAATAAATCAAATCTAAATAGGTCAGGTCAAATCATAAAATTTAGTTTAAGTAAAAATTCAGTAGTTAATTTCATTGTCTCATTCATAACTTCAACAATTTTAACTAATCGTAATCAATTTTGATACGAAATGTTACTAAGAGGCTCTTACTAAAAAATAGTCCGTATAGTGGCAGGTAAAGTTTTGGTGGCGGCTTGTCACATTAACCATAGTCAACCTAAGTCACTGAAAATTCTTGTTGCCTTGTCATATGAAACCAACTTGATTGACTTTTTTCTCGAGAAGGGGTACTTTGTTATCTTATTTCCCAAAACATGGTACTTTTAAACTTATTTCCCGAGAAGGGGTATTTTTTTCCAGTCAGCGTGCCATGTCAGCACCCGAGGCAAATTTCATTTCCAATTCAATTATCAGCCTAGTCACATTACATGTCATCACACGTGTCATGTAAAAATAAAATTGTATCATAAGGGAGTCAAACACTACTCATTACACTCCACAGCTATGCACTTCAACCATTGAACCAAGATAGTAAGTTGTTATCCTAAAGTCAAATTTACTTAATTATTCTCTCATAATATCAAATCAATGAAGTTAACGGAAAATTTCAGGTAATAAAAAAGTAGACATTTCTTAATTATCCGCCACTTTGATATATATCCACGTTATATCATTAGCCATTTTCAGTTCCACGTTATAAAAAATTAGTAGTCAATAAAAATAGAGAAAAATAATTAAAATATCCCAGACTCTGAGGGACTGTGAGGTAAACATCCCAAATTTGCATATGTAATTTAAATACTCTAAACATTTATAAAAAATTATTTTAGCACCATGGTCATGTATTATTTCTTTCAAAAATGTTTATTTTTTTGTTAATTTCATAATTTAAAATATTTTAGCATTCATGATGATATAACTAACATTCTAAAATTCCGTTGTAAAATAAAAAAGTACTACTCCCACTTGATATAATTGCAACATTTTTAATTTTCTATTTTAAATTATGCAATTAACACCTTAAATTTCTATTTTTGAAAAAGGTAATATATGATCATGATGCTAAATTAACTTTTATATAAAGTTTGGGATATTTAAATTACATATGAAAGTCTGGGGTGTTTATCTCACACTCTTCAAAGTTTGAGGTATTTTATTTATTTTTGCCATAAACATAATGTTTATGCTTGAAATATGGAACCGTCATATTGATTTCCAATAATTAGTCATTTCATAATTAGACATTTCGAATTCCACGTTATATCCACGTTTTCAAATAATGTTTATTGGAACGTTGGTGATGTCAAATGATTTAATGTCAAATAATCTTGTGGAACGTTGGCGGTGTAGTGGTCTAAGGTTCTATATTTTTAATGGATGGGCTCATGGGCGTGAGTTCGAATCCTAGGAGCTTAAATTTTTACTACGTATATGAACATCTATATGAGGTGACATGGTCTTGTCATGTGGCGGAATAATTGACTTGGAAATAGATTTAATTTCGGCGCTGACATGACACGCTGATTGGGATAAAATACTCCTTCTCGGGAAATAAGTTTAAAAGTACCTTATTCTGGGAAATAAGATTACAAAGTACCTTTCCCCGAGAAATAACTCCAACTTGATTGAACAATTGTTACATTTATACTCCAAAGCCATTATTTTTACATGCTATAAATAGTTAAATGGATTGGATACACATTTTAAGATAGTGGATATTGTGAGGTGAAGAGTTGTGCAGATGAGAGAGAAATGTGTAAGAAATGTTGTGAACCACAAATTCTTTACCAACAAGGGAAAGTGAAAGTTTTAATTGGGACGCACGAAAAAGGAAAGTTAGAAGTTTATTTAGAGACGAAGAGAATAGTATTTTTATCATTCAATTTTTTTAATTTCTCATCAACCCCTTTGCTGCCTCTTCTCTCGATCTTTCCCATGTCCTTTCTTTTCCCACTTACTCTTTTTTCTTCCATAATCATCACCTTCTATCTTCATCATTTTCTCAAGTTGACGATCTTTCATCATCATCATCATCATCATCATCATCATCATCATCATCATCATCATCATCATCATCATCATCATCATCATCATCATCATCATCATCATCATCATCATCATCATCATCATCATCTTGTGTCATTTTCCATCACTATCTTCATCCTCATCATCTTTTAGATTCACCATCTTCCTTCTTATCTATCATCTTACATTTTCCCTACTTCATCATCGATCACCTTAAACTTTGTAAGATTCACCGGAGATGGATAGTTGACGGAAAATAAATATAGAGATGCACAAACACCACAATTACTCGAGTTTTTGACATGATTTCTATAAAAAATAATACGTGCCATCCAAAATATTGATGAAGTTTGTCTGTGAAGAAATTAGATTGAAAAATTAGTAAACAACTGTAAATTTAGATCACATACAAAAAATGTTTTTAGCACATATATATATCATCTTGCATGTTTTTTTTGGAAAGACATCATTGTGCGTTGCACATAAACTGGTGTGTGTTCACAAAATTAATTTTGTGTACACTTATAGACATTTTTTATGTGGCATAGCTTTAGAGACATTTAATCATTTTCCACTTTTATTTCTTCATATGGACATATTTATCAGTATTTAGAATGATACAGATAATTTTTTACAGAGAACCCAACTAATAATCCTAGATATCGACTAATCTTCTCTGATTTTCCATTGGCTCTCCATCTCTGATTATTTTTTTAATCATAGAAGATGATATGAAGTGGGGAAGATGATGATGAAGTGAGGAAGATGGAAAATGATGAAAATGGAATGTGATAGATGCAGATGGACAATATTGAAGATGATGCATATATATGAAAGATGGTGGTGAGGAAGATGATGATGATGATGAAGGTGAGGTATCATCCGAATCAAAAGGAACAATGTAAAGAGAAAAGATAAGGAATGAAGAGAGAAGATGGTTATATAACGTGTAAAAATGAGTGAACACCAAGCATTATTGTTTATACTCAATCACTCCAGGATGTTTTAATTCATTCACTATCGAATAAATTATTTCCTCCGTAACATAAAATTTGATCTGTATAGTCGTCGAAAAAACTTTTGCCAACTTTGATCAATTTTACGGGCAGCAGAAAAAAAGTCACTTTTCGTCGAAAAGTATCACCAAGAGTATATTATATATATACTTGATGCTTTTTAATTTGTATATATATTGCTTAATAAATTTTTAATATAGTTCGTTAATATTTTACGCCATGTGAAAAAACGATTGCCCATGACATCTTTTGTAAAAATAGTTCATACCATTCCAAAAGTGTGGATTGAAGTATCCAAACACTTTAAATTGTACTCCTTATTGCTTTAGAGAATTTTGACGTCAATCATAGTTGTGCTCCATTATATTTTATGTTTTTATAATGTTTACGAATTGGTTTGTAAGGCTAAACGCAAACCACATCGATCTATCAATAAATCAAATTCCCCACCACTCTATACGTATTCATTCAGTCAATTCAATTTTTCATGTAATTCAGCACTGTCAATATATTCATTCAATGTTTTTTTCTAGATAAATCCTTAGTTTTATTATTATACATCAGTTTTTCTAGAATAACTACGGTTTTAAAAAATCAAGCATTTCGATGTAAAAATAAATAAATTTGGATTTTTTTTGTTATTTCAAACCCAATTATGAAAAGAAAATAACAGAGAGATGTAAAAATGCATATCTGAGATTTTAATTTTAGCACATTAATATATTTATAAAATAATGAGTCTGAAAATCTCTGCTAGTTGAAATTTCGTATATTTTTTTCAAAAATTATATATGTGATATTGGTGTCATATGAAAGATAAAAAAAGTTAGAATGTTTTTATAAAACTTGGAGTATAAATGAAAACGTTATAACATTTTTAATAAAAAAAAGATTTTCTTTTTTGTTGGGGTCCGCACCCTTTCTCCACAGCGCCCGCCCTCCCTTTTTGGCTTTGTCTTCCGCTTCGTATCTTCCAGCAAGGTAAAGGTGAATATGGGGTGCCATTTCTGGGTCATACTCCTCTCCATTTCTTTCTCTCCATTTACTCTCTCCATTTCTTTTTTCACTCTATCTCTCTCCTTAAAAATAATAATTAAATCTCATCTTTTATTCTTCCATACCCCACCATTTTCCCATCTGTCTCTGTATCTCTCCTACTGGAGAAGTCCAGTAACTGGAGAGGAGTAAAATTCGCCATTTCCACCCACCTTTAGTGGTGGACTCGGGCCGGGTGGCCCGACCCGGGACCGGCACTGTTCCGGCCCGACCCGACCCAGTGGCCTGGCCAGTGACCGGTTCGGGTAGGCCCGACCCGAGGGGTTTCCGGTCCGGGCTCGGGTCACCCAAAACATGAACCGGCCCGGCCGGTCCGAGCCCGGTTCTGGGCTTATTTTATTTTATTTTTTTAAATTTTTTTAAATCCCCGGGCTGGGTA